TATATATATATATATATACTATATGGAATGGAAAATAAATGACGTAATGGATTTTTTTTTTTAAATTTTTCAAAACTTTCACTTTTAATACACGAAAACACGAGGCAATATATATATATATATAATCGTGGAAATATTAAAATACGCGTATGAAACCGCGAGTGGAGCATACACGCAATAATACACTATTATAAATTTTTTATATCTCCGTTTAACAGAGAAGTGAAATTTATACCGGGAAGGTATTAAAATATCGCGTGAAATGAAATGGACGCGTGGTAGGGCGGATTGTAAATCGCGATGTATTTAACAACGTTTCGAACGACGAAAATTGGATTATATAGAAAACACGCGGGTGTATAAAATATATGGTTTATAGAAAATAATAAAATGAAATAAAACGGGTTAAATACGGAGGTGGAATGGATGGAAAAATTATCCACGAAATGTCTTGGCCATCTTTTCGAAGATTAGATTAGATTCATTTATTGTCTCAGAATTCATTATTAATATTTATCTTTAATTTTTATATATAATTTATTTTAAAAATATAATATAATTTTTATTAAATTAAATATATAATAATTTTTATATAAATTATTATTATAAATAATTAATTAATTAAATTTTGTTAATTATTAATCCATTCAACCTAACTTATAAATTTAATATTTATTCATATTATAAAATAATTAGAATTTAAATTTATTAGTATATATCAATATATATATATATAATTAAATTTAATATATATATATATTTCATGTTTTGAGGAGGAGGGGTGGAAATTGTTGAGATGCTGATACGATAAAATCGTATAAATATAAAACGTGTGCTTGTAGAAAAATTGATCTGAGAATTACACATATATACCTTTTGGACGATATTCCTCAATGAGAAAAGAGAAAGGAAGAGATAGTTTTTAAAAATTATGATAAAATTATTATGAAAATTACAGGATCCTTGGATCCTCCATTTCTAACATGTAATTTCTACATTGGGAAAAAAGAGGAGAAAGGAAAAGGAAGAGAAGGAGGGGAATAAAGTTGTAAATTTATATGAAATATAAAGCAACAATCTTGATTATATTGAACAAAGAATGAAAGAAAAGAAGAGAAAGAAGATGGAGGACATTGTAACTTTGAATTTAAAAATTTATAAATTACAAAAAATATTAATTGGTCTGGAATATAAAGAATTTAGAAAATTATACTATCAACAATCTTCTACTTTCGTTAAAAACAAAAAAGAAAGAAAGAAAGAAAGAAAGAAGAATTGCAAAATTATAAAACCGTAAGAACGTAATTTTAAAGAATTTAAAAAAAAAATTATAAAAATTACACGATTGTTGAGCAACAATCTTCCTGAAAACTGAATCAAAAAAAAAAAAAAAAAAAGAAAAAGAAAAAGAAAGAAAAGGAAGCATTAAAAAACCACGGATAGTCGCAGAATTACGAAATATTAATTACACGAAAAAAAATTCTGAAAATTGCGTGATTAAACTTGAGCAACGATCCTCCACTTCCATTAAAAAAAAAAAAAAAAAAAAAGAAAGGAAAAGAATTATGAAACGTTAATTATCTCCAACGTAAAGAATTTAAAAAAAATTATGACGAGCAATCTTCCATTTCCATTAAAAAAGAAAGAAAGAAAGAAAGAAGAATTGCAAAATTATAAAACCTTAATTACCGTAAGAACGTTAAAAGAATTTAAAAAAAAAATCTAAAAATTACGCGATCCTCGAACAACAAGTTTCCATCAAAAAAAAAAAAAAAAAAAAGAAAAAAAAAAAAGAGGAGAAAAAAAACTCTCGGTTTCAAGATCATCGTTCGCGGAGAGTAGTTGGTGGATGACGACAAGTATGACTGCGCAATTGCTTAAAGACTGCATAATTGAAAGGAAGGGAGAGGGGAGTGGAAGAAAAGTGGAGGGGGAGGAGAGGGATAGTTGCGTTAATTGCATGCAACTCACCTCCATGCTTGCGCCTTCAACCTCGCCCCTGTGGAACGGCGGTTTTCTGTCCTTTATGTATTGTAATATCCTCTTGTCATCCTTCATGAACTCGACTTTATGCAAGAACTCGTCGGGGACGCTATGATTGCAGTGCATAGTGGCCGTACTGTTGTACGTTACGTAGCGCGGTGCTATCAGTCGTACATGCACCGGAACTTGCATCTGCATTGAAGAGGAAGTTGCATCTGAAAGTCGTCAAACGTAATGTTTTATTTAACAGAGGGAACGTTTTCGACTTTTCGACGGCTTCTCGTTCTCGTGGGGAATTTCTAGGGAATTTCTTGGCGGAGGAATGGTAGCGTGCGACGTCGCTTCTTCCTTAAAATATTCCGTGTGAAACGTGTATTTTGGGAAATATACGTTTGAGAAAAATTTGTGAAGTCTCGTACGAGATACGCTTTCCAATTTGGAAAGAATTAAAAAAAGATATTGCTATTGTATTTTTTGAAGAATTGAAGAAATGGTTGAGTTAAGACAGTTTTTAGTGAGTTTTCTAATTTCAAAGGAATTAAAAGAAATTTTGCAAAATTATTATTACACTATTATATAAAAATGACTATTATTATTATTATACTATTATATATATTATATATATTATATATAATTATTATACTATTATATAAAAATACTATATTATTATAAAAATGAAAAAGTAAAAAAGAATGTAAGTTGATGAGATTTTAATTAAATTAAAAATACGAATTTTTCTATTTTTTTTTATTTTTTAATTGGTTAAAAGATTTTTCGAATATCGAGTATGATGAACACGATGATACTTTGTATTTTCATGTATAAAGTTCAAATTCAAATTCAAAAATATAAAATAGAGTGAATATCATTACGACAAACTACGTAACCGAATAAATATAATTTCGTTTCTCTCTTTACTCGAATAATTAACATAATTTATTATAATATTCCGTTAAAATTCCATCTTTTGACAAAAAAAAAAAAAAAACCTCCGTTTACCATTATCTCGGTTGAGAACATTTTATTCGATTTATAAAACGTTTCATCGAGTTAAAATTGTTTAATTCTTCTTTATGAAGCGATCAACATATTCGTACACACCACACACGTATAATTTTAATTATATGAAAATATTGCATCTTGCATCTTCTCGTGTCCGTGAAATGCTCATTCCGCTAGAAATATAAACTTAAAATGTGATTACTTTCCAAATATTTTTCCGAAAAGAAAAAAAAAAAAATTTTCTCGAGATAAAAAAATTCCAATTGTCGACTATTTAAAATATAAATGAAAACGGCATCCATTAAAAAAAAATTTTTTTTTCGAATGATAATACGCGCGCAAACGATGAATTAATTTAACAATCTGAAATCTATCTCATTATGCATGGTCAAAGGTACAATCGCGGAGTACGGGATATAATAATGGAAATGGCGAAATGTAACGCGCCAAACTTGTCTCGTTACGATTCAACGACAAAACGGCGCGACTACATCGAAAACAAAATCATTAATTAATTTATGGAACGACAAACTGCGGAAATTCAGTACTCGGTCAATGACATGAAACTTTAAAGCGATATGTACGACTGCACTGATTAAACGAATCTTATTGCTTTATATGTTTATTAAAATTATAATTAATAGTTGCGCGTATGTCACGTGAAAACTCGCCGTCATTATCGTAATGGAGAAATATTTAAACACCCGAGATCCCTCGCAACGAGATAATAAAGAAAGAGAGAAAGAGGATAAAAATAGAAAACGAAAGAGGAAATTAAATTAGTGAGGAGCTTTTGGCAAAGTTTTATGTAGTATCGATAGAAATAAAAATGGAAATACAATCGTATAGGTGATTTAAAATTGTTAGGTTAGATTAGGTTAGGTTAGATTAGGAAGGATCGATAACAATAAATTGATCGAATTCCAAAGTAATTCCAAAGTTATATTTTTAACGCGTAGAATCATGAGATTTTTCAAGAACGAATTTCTAGTAACTATCGACTAATTTCTGATCGAAAATTCGGAACTAAAATTATTCGAATAAGCCTTCGTTCGATTCAAATTCTGCCCCATGCGATTTCAAATTATTACTTTTTTATGTGACGAAAGTATAAATGAAGTTAGAAATAGAGAAAAATAGAAAAATATTTATTTTAAAAACCAAAAAAAAGAAAGTTTTAAAAAAATTATAAAAAATATAATTGTAAAAAAAACATTTCAATTATTTCGAAATTAGTGTAGTAGAAGTGGAAATTAATAAAAATTAGCAATTTTAATTCCTTGATTAATAATATTATTCGTGATACGAATTAAGTATTAAACATAACGAAAACAAGCTATACCAAGTTTAATTCCAAATCATAAGTTAAATTAATGAATACAAATTACACGCTGATATTTTACACGCATCTCATTTCAGACATATTGCATTAAATAGTCATGAAGAAAATTATTAAAACAAGGATTTAACGATCTATCTATTTGTAAAAACTTCAAGAGTAAATTTAACAAAGTATTTTGTATCCACGATCAGTGTATCTCGAAATCGACCGATAAATTTTCGCCCATAATTAATGAAACCGCCTATATGATCAAATTTACATGTTATCGCAAACCGTCGATGTTAATGTGTCGAGCAACAATTAGCTGTATCATCGGGCAACAATTAATAACCGGATGATCGATACAATTTAGCATGCCAGAAGGGAAGTGTCTATTAATTTGTGTTCCTTCGCGAAATTTAGGTCGTCGTAGGAATAAGGTTCACGTATCCGTGTCAATTATCATCTCATTAATTCGATTACCGGCCATTTACTCGATCTAAATCCCGCAAACCGATTATACGTATAAGCAAGACTCCATCAACGGAGCGAAAAGCATAAAGAGGGATACGAGTCAAAAATACTAAAAGAGTCTAATGAAACCGTACGGAAGAATGGAGAGGTTTTAGTCGGCTATAACTACTTGTGGCAGTACCCTGTTGCTGGGAGGTGTTACTGTATCGATCACTGGAAGCGCGTGTTACTAACACGCGCGCAGAATATTCCTGGGGCTTTTAAGACGTTTCAAAAGCAGCATATACGACGAACGGCGAAACGAATCACTGTCGTCAAAATGGAATCATTTTTTGCTTTGTACACCGTCGATGTCGCATATGCTTGAAATTTAAATCGGTTTTTCACTTCGCGTTTCCGAATATAACGTTCACCGCACGAGAGGTCCTTTCGAAACGCCTTTGTGAAACGAAAGAGAAGAAAAAACGAATAAATGGCAGGAATGAAAAATGCGTTTTACATACAGATTCGACTTTGAAAATTCTAATTTTACGCGATAATTGAGAAATGAGAGAAAGAATGCTAATGAATTTGTATAATATTTTTCAATAATGGTATAAGATTGTTAAATTTAAAAAAAAAAATAAAAAAAAAATTGTAAATGAATTTTTATCAATATTAAGAAAAATTAAAAATTTAGAAATGAATTATAACCATTATGAATAAAAATGATATGGAATGTATGCTAAATTATTTTTAATTCATAGTTATATTGTTTGTATCGCTAAATAATTGAAAGATAGATATATTGAAGATATATGAAATATAATTGAAGATAAATGTCAAGCGATTTCCAGTTATAAGATGTAATAAAATTTAAGTTACATCTTATATATGTCACAAATGAAAATAATATAATTTAATACGTATAATATATGCGAGAAGTTTTAAAAAAACCGCGAAAAATGTAAACACGTTCATATACTTTGTAATTCGTTCAAATCTTGCACTTAATAATAAATAATTATCTAATAGCAGTCTATTTTAAATAAAATTGACTAAACGTCATTAATAAGCTTCTTTCTGATTATCCTTTCACTTATTCTAATAATACATTTGTGTTGCTTAAACTTAATACAAAAAATCTGTTTGACATATTAAATAATATTACATATATTAATATATATTTTGCTATATTATTTGTTTCTTTTTCATATTCTTAATGAAACACTAGCTGTTAAAAAAAATTTCATTCAAATTCTGAAACATGAAACATTTTATGCAAGATGTTTCTAAGAATGAAAACGATCAGACAAATTTATTAAAATCAAATTTAATTTCTATGTTTGAATGCTTCTTTACGCTTCATCATCAATCATTATGACATGTAATATTTCGATGTAAAAATCAGTAATTTTCACTATTCGAGAACAAAATGAACTGGCCGGGTGGGTGTTTACGATTGCGTACAACTTACATGAAAATAAATGTAAAATATATACGAATACAAATTTTCCCCAATATGTTGATTGGCGCGGCATTGTGGTATGAATTTTTTCGCGTTATTTCTACGTAAAATTGTTACTGATTCTACGTTACTTAATACGAAAAAACGTGCGTCTATTTTGTACAGTGGTGTGCCTTTAAACTACACAACTTCCAACCGAGTCGGCGCTACAACTGACCAAGCTTTTCGATCGTTCGACCAACTCCCATAGAATATAAAACATAGAGCGAAGACTCACTGTCTTTTTGCTTATCGAGCGATCTTCGATATTGGATTTATTAATGAGTAGCGTGAAATAAGCAATGAGTGACAGAAACTGAAATGAATAACGTATTGATATCTTTATGATATAGAGCGGCGAATTTTTAATTAATCTACTTGCATTGATTTAAACTGCATTTAGGAAGAAGTTTATATTGTTAGATAACATAAATTTTTCTTAATAGATTTTTGTTCGATGCTTTATATTTATAGAGTAAAAAATTTAATTCGAAGGATAATTATTAATAATATTTATAATATTAATATTTTATTATTTTACAAATAAGATTAAAACATTGCATTATGATTTTATAATATTTTAATGAAATAAATTTTGATAAATCAATAAATAAATTATGAAAACTCAAGTCGATGAAGAAAGTAATGTAATTAATTTTTAAATTAATTCATTTTTTTATATTATTAAGAATTTATTTTTTGTTTTATATTATAAGAAAAAAATATCATTTGTATTCTACTATTACTATTATTACTATTATTAATTATAATATATTAAATATAAATTATTATATTCATGCACAATATATCATTCATCTGCAATGATAGCTAATATTCATTAACATGCATATAAGATATATCAAATGAGTCATCATTGCTTATTTCTATGACAAAAATAATTAATGCGTTGCATCGCACAGTGAAAAAAATGTACCTAAATACGCAACAAGTGCAACATAAAAGTTCTTTTTCACATTGTAGGTTTGAAGTGTTCACGTAAACATTTTATATGTTTTCTTGTCATATGTTTACGCAAATACATTTAGAATGAAATATTTATTAGTTGTATAATTGAAATTAATATATAAACAAAAATGGAAGGGCATGAAGATGATGAATTAGAAGATTTAAATTCAACTATTTATACATTTCCACCAAATGTACAAAATGTCATTGAACAGGTTAGGTTCATAACAAACTGTCAAAATATTTATAATTGTCACTCATCATTAACAAGTAGTTGTTAATGTTTTTTTATTTTATTGAACATTATAATTCATTTTCTTTTGTTTTGTGTGTGAATAATTTTAGTAATTTCTCTTTGAATTAAATAAATAATTTTTATATCTTTTAATTCTTAGGTTTTACCTAGTACAGATCCATTGGACCAACCAAATTTTAATGTAGTAGATTATATAAATTCACTATTCCCAACGGAACAGTCTCTATCGAATATAGATGATGTAGTAAATAATATGGAATTAAAGATACGCAATATAGATAAAGAAATTCGTTCTGTAGTACGTGGACAAACAAATGTAGGTCAAGATGGAAGAGCAGCATTAGAAGATGCACAGAAAGTAATAAAACAATTATTTGTGCATATCAAAGATATTAAAGATAAAGCAGAACAGTCTGAAGAAGTTGTCAAAGAAATAACAAGGGATATTAAACAATTGGACTTTGCTAAAAGAAATCTCACTGCCTCAATAACAGCATTGAATCACTTACATATGCTTGTGGAAGGTGTAGATACTTTAAAGTAATGTATTATAATTTTTATTAACAAAAATATATTTAATCTAATTTAATATATTTATATATTATTTTAATTTTATTATAGAGTACTAACACAAAAGAAACAATATGGTGAAATTGTTTTACCATTACAAGCAGTGATGGAAGTGATGCAACATTTTAATAGTTATATGGATATACCTCAAGTAAAACAATTGTCTGATGAAGTATGTAATATTTAAATTTTTATAACAGTAAAATATGTTTTTTACTAATGTATCGTTTTGTTAATTTAAAGGTACGTCAAATACATGTTGAGTTGGCTCAACAAATTACAGCAGATTTTAAACAAGCATTTTCTGGTCAAAATCCAAAATATTTTAATCAACTTACAGAAGGTTGTTTAGTGTTGTCTGTTTTGGATCCTAAAGTCAAGTATGTTTATTAGAAATTTAATTATTTATGATATTTAAATAAATAAATGTAATAACTCATATTTTTTTTATAAGGAAAGATCTACTTACCTGGTTCGTAGGTATTCAATTACAAGAATATGCACATCTCTTTGATGAAAATCAAGATTTTGCATGGTTGGATAAAATAGATCGACGCTATGCATGGATAAAAAAACATTTACTTGATTTTGAATCAAAATTTGGTGCAATTTTTCCTCAAGATTGGGAAATATCAGAACGAATTGCTGTCCAATTTTGTCATGTTACAAGAGAAGATCTTACAAAATTAATGCATAAGAGACGTTCTGAAATAGATGTTAAACTATTACTTTATGCAATTCAAAGAACTACTAATTTTGAATCATTATTAGCGAAAAGATTTAGTGGTATTACTTTAGAAAATTTGGATGTAGGAAATAAAAAAAATACTACAGACATGACTGATAATAAAGTTCCAGGCAATCCATTTGAACAAAATGAACAAGTATAATTATATTGAGAATGTATATATATTATATAAAAATATTTTATATTTTAAATTATCTAAACTTTTATATTATAAAACAGGTACAAAATGAGAAACCAAAACCATCATCATTTTTAAATCTCATAGGAAGATGTTTTGAACCATATTTAAATATTTATATAGAAAGTCTAGATCGTAATCTGGCAGATCTAATGGATAAATTTGTATCAGATTCTAAAACACAACCACCTGGTGCTAAAGATTGTGATGGTATTGAGGGTCCTAGTAGTGTGTTATCCTCGTGTGCAGATCTGTTTGTATTTTATAAAAAATGTATGTTACAATGTACACAACTTAGTACAGGTTCAATTATGTTAAGTTTAGCGGAAACTTTTCAAAAATATTTACGTGAATATGCTCTTAAAATATTGCAAAATAATTTACCTAAGTAAGTAGAATACATACTTTTATGAGTCTACTAATTAAATTTATAATTTTTCACAATTAACATTTCTTACAGAATTGGGGGTAGTGCAGGAATTGCTACAAGTATGAGTAGTATACGTGATTTTCGAGATCTTTCAACATCAGGTTTTATACAGAATTTCCAAAGTTTTTTAAAGGAAGGTGAAAGTACTAGATTTAGTAAAGAAGAACAATCGCGTATATGCTGGTAAAGGTTTGCTAATTAGAAAACATCTTAATTAATATGATATTTAGAAGAAAATAAATTATATAAACTTATATTTCAGTATACTAACAACTGCTGAATATTGCTTAGAAACAACACAACAATTGGAAGAAAAACTACGAGAAAAAACAGATAAATGTTATGCAGAAAAAATTAATCTGTCTCAAGAACAAGATATTTTTCATAAGTATGTATTACAAAAATTTTTTTATAAATAATCGATATTTAAGTTTTTAATAATATTCGTAATTATTTTTGTTTATAGTGTTATATCAAATTGTATACAATTACTTGTTCAAGATTTAGAATCTGCATGTGAATCTGCATTAACTGCAATGACAAAGGTATTTATTCATTTATTTGTTATATTTAATGTTTTTAATTATTTCAAGTAATTTTATTCATTTGTATTCATAATTTTTAGGTTCAATGGGGTGCCATAGAAGTTGTTGGTGATCAAAGTAATTATGTTAATACTATTGTGGCACATCTTCGACAAACAATACCTACTATCAGAGATAGATTATCTTCATGTAGAAAATACTTTACTCAACTCTGTGTGAAATTTGCAAGGTAATAAAGTAAAATATGAATTTATTTCATTAAACATCATTATAAAAATTAATAAAAAAAAATTTTTTTTTGCAGTTCATTTATAATAAAATTAGTACAACAACTGTATAAGTGTAAACCATTAAATACCGTAGGTGCCGAACAATTGTTGCTAGATGTACACATGTTAAAAACTGCTCTCTTAGATCTCCCATCAACAGGTTATCAAGTTCAAAGAAAAGCACCTGCTACATATACTAAAGTAATTTTCTATAATTAATGAATTTGCTAATTAATTTTTATTCATGATATTTATTCATGATATTTTGAATTAATGATTTTCATTTAAAATTGTATATTAATGTATATATCTTTTATTATAAAAAACAGGTAGTAGTGAAAGGCATGGCAAGTGCTGAAATGATTCTTAAAATTGTAATGTCCCCAATAGAATCTCCAAAAGACTTTGTAAAGCAATGTAGAATACGTCTACCGGATTTACAAGCACCAGAATTTCAAAAGATATTGGATATGAAGGTATTTAATGTTTCTTTATGTTTCTATTATTAAAATTTATTTAAAATTAATTAAGATTATATCATTTATATTAAATTTCTAATAATTCGTAGGGTCTGAAAAAAACAGAACAAGTTTTACTATTAGAACAATTTAAACAACCTGAGAATACAGATGTTTCTCATGATATTAGGAGTCATATCATTCAAGATAGCCCAGAACATGAAGCCGGGCGAATAAAAAGATTGGAAAAGTTAATAAAAAAAAGAATATGAATACGTTTCATAGTAAAACTTATATTGTAATGTACATATTCAAAATTAAATATAATTGTATCTATATAAATATTAAAATTGCATAATTCTCTTTGTTTCAATAAAGTAAAATTGTTTTTATATAAAATTCATTAAGAATTTAATTTTTTATTATTTTGTATTAATAATTTTTATTCTCCAAATTTTATAAATTAAAAGGTCTTGTATCATATATATAAAACAACAAAAACCTTGGTTTTTTATTTTATTATTGTACATAGTAAATAGTATTCAATAAACAGGTAGATGTTAACCCTGTTTCTGTGCAAGTTCCTTTGCTTTAGCTTTTTCCAGCTTTGCTATTCTAGCAGCAGATTTACTGCCTAAGAGACCACCACCCCAATGACGTCGGATTTCATCATATCTATCATTGAAGTTTGTCTTAATAGCTTCAACAAGTTTTGCAAAGTTTGCTCTATCACCAGAATCCACCTGAAATAAAAAACAATGTATTACTAAAAGTAAATCAAATTTAAAATTTAATAGGACTACTAAAATTATATCAGTATCATATTGTTTAGTTATATCATTAATATTATCATTGGATTGGCTCTTTTTAAATTCATCATGTTTTAAATTAATTATATTTTGTATAGAAATAATTTAAAAAAATTATATAAAAATAATGTAAAAAAATAATATAAAAAAAATCTTACCTGTACTAAAGCTACAGCAGTGCAAGTTTTACGCCTAACAAGACGTCCCAATCGTGATTTACCTTTTATAATGCAATAAGGTACACCCATTTTACGACAAAGAGCTGGCAAAAATAAAACAATCTGAAATGAAAAATAATGTATCAATGAATAAGAACAATGCAATGATTCATATTTTACGAATAGAACCATTTTACTCAGAAAAATATTTCATCTTTTAAATAAAATTTATATTAAATTTATTTTCAGGTGAAGAAATTCAAGCATCATTGTAACAATAAAATATTGAATTTGTAAAATTCTTTCTTTTTGAGAAAGAAAAAATATGTACCTCGATTGGATCAACATCATGAGCAATTACTACAAGTTGTGCTTTCTTTTGTTCAACAAGTGTAGTTACTGTATTTGTTCCACTACGTAATACATTAGGTTTTTTTGTTGGTGTATCTTCTTTTTTTGCAACTTTTTGTTCAGCTCTAGCTTTTAGTCTCATTTTTTTCATAGCAGCAGATTCTGGTCTGTACTTTTCTAACATTTTAAATAATTGTGTTGCTATAACATGAAATAGATGAATTTAAATTGTCAGGTTTTCCCAAATTTTTTGTTTATTTACATAACAAATATAAGATAAATATACCTGTTTGTTTATCTAATGTTTGTGTGAATTGATTGATTGGAGGTGGGACTTTTAACCTTTTCTGTAATACTGCCCTTTGCCTTTGAATACGAATGTATTTGGGCCATTTCACAAAGCGACTAAGATCACGTGCAGGTTGAATATCCTGTCCTAAGTAATAAATTATTATGAATAATATAAATTAACACTATATAATAAATAAATTATATATTTAGATTATCTATTTTTTTTTACTTACCAATACCGAAATTACGAGTACGTTTCTCAAATAAAGGATTGGTTTGTTTTTTGGGTTCAACCTTCTTAACAGCAAGTGGTGCAGCTGCCACTTTCTTTCCAACCTTCTTCTTCGGCTAAAATTATTACAAAAATATATATATTAATATTTTTCATTTACTAAATATTATTATACATTTATTATCTTCATAAACACAAAGTAACACAATACAAAACATTATATTTAATTTTACTACGACAATATATATTAACAAAATAATGTATTCTATAAAATTCATATATTCTATATCAATAAATAATCGTATTAAATAATAAAGTAAATAAATATAGCTAATACAATAAAACGTATAAAAGAGAAACATATTTATAATAATATTGCATATCCAAGACATGCTGAATTCTAACCATCAAAATTCAGAATAATAAATCATTATCATTGGAAATATTATTTTTATTTAGCAATTTATTAAATTTACCTTTTTCTGAACCATCGTTTTAATAAAAAATTTAACGGATCCTTTATATCACAAAGGATATAAAAGTTTGTACTTCGCTTAGCACAACGCAAAGTACGACCGCCAAGAACGTAAAGAAAGAATCATATAGCAGCGCCATCATCAGCGCCACCACAATGCTGTTTGACAAATAATATCTTGATATATTAATTTATATAGAGAGGAAACATAATGATTATTTCTGAATTTTCTAAGTATATCTTAATATTTATTTCTAAAATAATTAAAATATTATTTTAAATAACTTACAAATATTTTTTTAAAAAGAAATTCACTTTATGTTTTTAGAATTTGCATTACAATTTAAAATATCATATATTATATAAATCATTATTTTTTTATTTATCAAACAGAAAATATAATTTAATTATAAAATTATTAAATTAATTAGAAATACATTAATATTGTCAATAAATAGATACAATGTATTGATTTTATGTTATATATTATTATTAACATAACATAAATTTTATGTAAAAAAAGAAAGTTGCATTTTATTTAAAGTAAAAATGTTTTGCTTATCTCAATAGTTTTATGAATTTGAAAGATGCAGTAGAAAGTTGAAAACGTCGAAACACGCATGCGTGAATTCATTAGCAACGAGAATGTAACGACAGAGACCGCGCGTGCGACCTATGCGTCTCCAGTTGAGAGTATTTTCTGTAAAGAACGCGTAGCGGCTATGTCAGTGTTCCTAATGTGTCGACGATTCGTTTATAAAACATATCTGTCATGAACGTTGATATTTGGAATCTAAAAAACATTTGTTTATTAATGTGTTCGTGACAGTACGTGAATTGAATGAATAGTGATTTTCGACTTATCGTAATATTTTCTTCCGTCCTACTGTCGATTCTGAGAAGCCGCTCGTTTTCTATTTCGACATAAATTTAGAAGCAGTAGCTACAGGTAATAATAATAATAAATTAAATAAAATTACTTTATATTATTTTAAATCTTGTTGCTAGCTGAATTCATTTATTCTGTCGTTTTAAAGCTAATAAATCATTAGTACTTCGAATGTTGAAATCATAATGTAGCATTTCGTTAATGGTTACTGACAAAAATGTGATAAATATATTCTTTCTTGATCTTTTGCTTTTTATTTATTTTAAATTTACATTAATTACAAATTGTAATAATAGAATCATTAGAAAATATTTCTTATTGGAATTAGTAATTATATGAATATAATGATTTACAATATAATATAGTAATAATTAAAAAATTAATGAATTAAATGTTTAAAATAATTTTATTTAATGTATTATTATGTAATTTTTGAGAGCTTTATAATTTAATTAAATTCATATATCAGTAAAATAGTAATAAAATGTTCTATATTTATTTGTACATTTATTTCTTTATATAATCTTTCGTGTTACATTTTTAATACAATTAAATACAAAAAAGCAATGTAAAATGAAAAAAAATATTTTTTTAATTAATTTTGATTTATTCAATTAGATTAACTATCAATATGATTCTCAATTTAGAAGATCTACACGTCAGATATCTGTGAAATTATTTGCAAGTTTTATTATATCTTATTACTTACGTTACAATTTTCGGTATTAGATAATGATTTTCTCGAAAATATATATCAAATAATCTTGTTATCATTTTTCAAAAAATTTTTCTTCAAAAAGATAACGATCAATAGTTACGTGATTGATAGGTACCAATAGCAAATATGACTATCAAAAAAATTTGCGGTATCGGTGCTGGATATGTGGGTGGACCAACGTGTAGTGTGATTGCTTTGAAATGCCCAGAAATTCAAGTAACCGTGGTGGACAAGAGCAAAGAGAGAATTGCTCAATGGAATTCAGAGAAATTGCCGATATACGAACCAGGTCTTGATGAAGTGGTGCGCAAATGTCGTGGCAAGAATTTGTTCTTTTCCACGGATATAGAAACTGCGATCCAGGAAGCAGATCTAATCTTCATTTCAGTAAATACCCCAACGAAAACGTTCGGCAATGGAAAAGGAAGAGCAGCTGATTTGAAGTACGTCGAGAGCGCGGCTAGAATGATCGCGGAGATTGCAACCGGGAATAAAATCGTTGTAGAAAAAAGCACGGTTCCAGTAAGAGCTGCAGAAAGTATAATGAATATTTTACGTGCCAATCATAAACCAGGAGTATCATGTCAGGTAAATGTACCACTATGAAAAATTTGATTATTTCAATCATATTCAACGAAATTACAATTGATCGATTTTGTATATCGATCGAATGTCGATTATCGGAAGTAAACGATTATACGCAACGAAGATTGCATGAAATCGAAATGCAATTTCAAGTTCTGAAATATTGATCACTTTGTCGAAGCGTAAATTTGTTTCTTTGGAATTTCTTTTTTTTTTTTTTTTTTTTTCATTGCTCTCTGTAGAGAAGATTTAATGGTCTTGTGAGAGTAATGACTCGAATGCCACGTGGCTGACTTCTGATATGCTGTTGTGTGTTCTAGAAGTAAAGATTGAGTAGATAGATAGTATAATGGACTCAATATCGTCGTGAAATAAGAGCAAAGAAAATTTACAGTTTCTCCTTGCTCGTAATAGAGTATTATACACGGTACCCTTTGCAGCTATTTTTAGACGCATACCAGATGCATCTTTTCCGCATGTTGATTAATATTTTTTTTTTGTAGATTAGACTTTCTATTTGTAGATTATGCTAATATAATTTAATCTCTTTTTTTTTTTAAATATTAAATTATAATTAAAAATAAATAAATAATTTTCAAAGAGAATAATTCTTAAATATATCATTCCATAATTATTTTTATACATAGATTTCAAATGCAAAAATTCGATATATATGATATTTACGATAATTATATTATATTTACGATAATTTTTAACATATAAATAACCATTTAGTTTTTTTCAGCGCTAGAAAGATTCGATGCGATATTATTTGTATTTCTTGTATTTATTATTAACACATTATTAATGTATTATTGGAAATTGATATTATGTGATTCAATAAACGGTTAAGTTTATGTCTGCTAATACGAGACATCTTAATTGTTACTCACTCATCATATATCATCATATATGACCTTTCTTTCTTTCACAACTAACCAACCTTTTCATTATTTATTGCGCGTTCTTTGACATCATCGATGCAATTGTGTAAAGCGATAGTAACAGGAAAGTTTATATTTTTTTCAGATCTTATCAAATCCAGAATTCCTAGCGGAGGGAACCGCCATTGAGGATCTGGTAAATGCAGATCGCGTTTTAATCGGAGGTGAAGATTCACCGGAAGGACAGGCGGCTATCGAGGAATTGTGCAAGGTTTATGAGCATTGGATTCCAAGAAAGAATATTTTAACGACAAACACTTGGAGCTCGGAATTATCAAAACTGGTAAAAAAGAATATTTTATTATAGCTATAACAAATATTACAGATATTTTATATTGGCGATCAGATATCATATCAACTTGTTTACAAAAGTTTAACGTATGATTGTAAAATTTGTTTGCCAAATAACGTCACGTATTTTTCAACGTCAAAATGTACGTATATAAGTCTTTAATTTATATAGGTTTATCTCTTAAATTAATATTTATCGAATACGGACGGAATCGAATTGCGCAATTATTTGAAATTAATTGTTTTTTAGGCCGCCAATGCTTTCTTGGCACAACGTATATCGAGCATAAATTCCCTGTCGGCCGTGTGTGAGGCGACCGGCGCGGATGTGTCCGAGGTTGCACGGGCAGTTGGCCTTGACTCTCGAATAGGGTCGAAGTTTCTTCACGCATCCGTCGGATTCGGCGGTTCGTGCTTTCAAAAAGATATTCTTAATCTGGTGTACATTTGTGAATGTCTAAATCTACCAGAAGTTGCCGCTTATTGGCAACAAGTGATAGACATGAACGAATATCAAAAATCCAGATTCTCAGCGAAAGTAATCGAGTCTTTGTTCAATACCGTCACGGACAAGAGGATCTCAATGCTCGGTTTTGCCTTCAAGAAAAATACCGGTGATACGCGTGAATCACCGGCCATTCACGTTGCTAAGACCCTGCTGGACGAGGGCGCTATGCTTCACATATATGATCCCAAGGTGAAACCTTCTCAATATAAATTCGAAATGTTTGATACATCATTGGGTTATTTTTTTTATCTTTTTTCTTCTTTTACTTAAGGTCGAAGAAAGTCAAATTATCGAGGATTTGACGCATCCAAGCGTAACAAGTGACCCAGAATACGTAAAAAGTAGAATTAGTATTTACAAAGATGCTTATAGCGCTACAAAAGGTACACACGCTATTGTCTTATGTACCGAGTGGGACGAGTTTGTGGTTAGTAACAATGTATTACTTGCATAAAGTTTTAAGAGTAATTTTAAGCTTATTAATTATTTTGATTTTTTTTTATTCAGGAGTTAGATTATAAACGAATTTACATTAACATGATGAAACCTGCATACATTTTTGATGGAAGAAAAATTTTAGATCATGATAAATTACAAAAAATCGGTTTCATCGTACAGACTATTGGTAAGAGAATTACAAGAACGGTGCTTTCAAGAGCATGGGGAAGCCAAACTCAGATATAATAATGTTTACGTAGGTTATCATAAAAAAAAAAAAAAAAAAAACGAAAAATGTTTAATTTCATATATGTTTTTAAAATCTTGTGAATGATATAAATTAGATTCTAAAATTTATGAACTTTTATTCGTGATAAGTTTGAAGTTTAGCTTAAAGCATTCTTTTTTATTTTAAGGACATTGTAAAATAATAAATTAATTTTCAATTTTTTCAAATTTGCGAAAATATAGGTTTACAAGATTTTAAAAGATTAAATTTTTTTTAACAAAATTTAAACTTAAAATTAAAAATCGGAAACAAATACGCTGTTTTTTGAAAACACGTATCGTACGTGATACGTGTGATATTGCTTGTCATGACTTTTGTAATAATCAATAATGTCAGTTGAATCAAATATTTATATATATTTCTTACATAATTTGATATGTAAGTTAATATTATATATTAAGTATATAATAATTATCGCATTAATTGACGATACGTAATTAGTATTATTTTTATCAGTTTTTATTAATGCTGCAAATATTATTGTGAATTTATCGATTATGGGCATTTATGGGATATATAGTAAATAATACTATTTTAAAAAAATGAAATAGATTTCGAATATTTTTTCGGTTTTTTGTGCAATATATATTGCGTATGAAAAAATATTGCAAATATGAACTCTTTGATACATTATTGTGATATGTTATATTTTTAATTCAAAAATAGAGGTTGAAACAATATCCGATTATGGATAATTTTGATTCCTCGTTTTCAACCCCTACTTTAAAAGCATATTTTTAATTATGTTTAACATTATTATAATTTTATCTTTTTGTATTTCCATATTCCTTTATTGCATTTTTGGAAAACTTTTCCTATAGTTTCACGATTTTAAATGTATATTATGTATTTTCTTTATATGATATTTAGAAGTATTTATAAGTGATGCAAATGATATAAATGATTCATTCTAAATGATACTATTATTTTTAAAAATGCAATGAAGTTATAAAAATTGTTTTTTTGCTTTGTTATAAAAATTATAATTATATTGTAATGTTATAATATTAAATAAGTTTTTTATAATAACATTAGAAAGGAAAGGAAAAAAATAAGCAATAATATCAATGTTATATTTAGTATATTACATTATATACTAAATATATATATATTTGATATATGATATCAAAATGTTCTGTATAATAATGCCATTTACAAAAAAAAAAAAATTAGGAAATTAGCAAATTAAAATATTCAAAATAATTTTACAAGAACTATTTTCATTGTATGTAATTATAAGAAACTGATATAAGCAAATAATTTAGTATTCATTTATTCCAAATAACAATACCTTTACTTTTATAATTATATATATAAAATTATAAATAAATTTCATAGAAAATTTTTTAATTTGATATTGTTCGTTTATATTTATATATATAGTATATTCCTTTGATATTCCTAAAGTAAAATATTTTATTATTTTTAGTTAAATATTTCGGTGTTTTATATCTATAAATGAATGAAAAAAGTTATTTGATTTTGAAGTTTCTTTTACATAGTAATTGTTATTAATATTATAATATTTTTAATTTTTGTATAAAATAATTTTAAATAAAATATTAAAATAAATTTCAAATTATTATGTCTGTAAAACGTTTAAAAATATAACTACAATAAGAATATTTTTAAATTTATGATATTATTTTCTGTAAGTTAGTAATTTAATAATTATAAAATTAAATTATGATTTAAATATATATAAAATTCAAATAGTTCAGTATAAAAAGCATACATTAAAACTTACAAATTAAAAAAAATTTCAAAATTCATAGTATCGATACTGATACTTACAGCCCTGCCACAGAAGAACGATGGCGCCGCTGAACGAACTACCGGTTGCAGGAACAGAGGCAGCAGCAGCGGTGGTGACGGCAGTAGCGGCAGCAGTAGCAACAGCACGAGTCGCTCTGCGTTTGCCGTGAAAATTCGCGAGTGGTCCGCGTGACAGTACTCTGGAGGTTACGTTAACAAGCTGAACGATGATGTCAAAGAGTTGGTGCCGCGTGATTCGCGCGAGATCGAACCATTCATCGAATTGTCAGTGAATCATTTTGTTCGCTGTTGCTTTTTTCCTTGTCGTGCGAAACCTCTCTTTCTGTTGGCCAAGAGGGATAATAGGCCGGGCCTATCAGCACAGTAGGAAAATGGCGGCTTGCCTTGCGCGGCGTAGACGACGAGGGGCAACAAGGCTCTTGGTGTAAAGTAACCGAACGTAAAAAAAAAATAACCTTTCGTTTCCGTCGATTGTTCGTGGTGTAAATTGTGTAGTTTGTGTTCAATCATTGACGTGCTAAACGTGAAAACGACAAATAACAAAAAGAGAGAGGGAGATAAAAAAGAGAAAAAGGAGGGACCTCGTTAGCGCGAATACCACGAGTTACGAGATGAGAGCGGGACGCGAGGAGGAACGAAGGAAAAACAACACGAGAAGCGAGTAACGAAGAACCACTGTGCGTTCCGTTTGTGCACGCGTGTATGCTCGCATGAGAGCGAGCGGCGATCAACGGTGACAAGTGTTCCGTCGACGGGGAACTTCGCCTTAGCCCCACGTCGACAAGAAGATGATATTCCGGGCATTGAGACACCGCCGTGGCTACGTCGATCGCGATCCTCGTGCCGCCGTTTACTGTCGTCGCCATTGAGCTACGGCCACTTTCGCGAAAATTATTTTTTTCGCGAGAGAACAGTGAGGCCGTGGACAACGGGACGACAACGACGACCACGACGATCACGAGACGAAAAGTTGGAGGAAGATGAGAGGCGCGTGCGACGGCGGCATAGCGAGTTTTCTCGCTCTGGCGCTCCTCTGTTTATTCCACACGTCATGCCTTGTAGACGGTATGTAATGCTTCTATTGCCCGTCAATTTCTCTCTCGCTCGTTCATTCTCTTATTACTTCTCTCTTATATTCTCTATCCCTTTCTATCTTCTTTTCGCGAGTTGATTTTCCTTCCCATCCATATCCGTCCACCTGCCTGTCATTCTTTCTGCCCTCTGATTGTTGTTCCCGCTCTTTCTCTCTTTCTTTTACTTTCCGCGTAACGTTGCGTAAGCAACGCGGTACTGTACACTTATACAGAAGGGCCGATTAATCTTATTGTACGAGGTTCGTCGAGTATGCGGAAGGATATACGTTTAATCGGCGCAAACTGTATAGGTTCTCTCTGGTTCGCAAACAATTGATACAATGATTTCTTTTTTCAGCATTATTGCTTGCATGTATGTTAGTCTTCCTTTTCTTTCACATATTCTTAACATATACTTGTCGATTAGTTCTTATATTTAGTTTAATGTTTTGATGTTACTAAACATTATAATCATTATAAATTTTAGATTTTATAATTATAAAAAACATAGGTGTTTTAGTAAAATTTAGATTGATTTTTTGAAATTAAAATTAAATTGACAGAAAAGAATTGAAGATTAATATTTAAACCAGAATTAAAATTAATAAATAGATCAGAATCTTTAATCGTTGTTTCTATTGTTTTTATTATTTATAAGCTTCTATAGTTTCTATAGCATTATAAGTTTCTATAGCATCACTTAATTATTATAATTGTTGATTAATGATCTGATTAATGAATACACAAGTATTTATTGAATCGATAATTGTTATATCTTTGCGTAAATAAATCGCTCGAAATAATTAGAGGATTTATACGATTGATTTTATTGGTCACATTGAAAACAAACATATCTAATGTCGCAACGTTTAAGTGACAATTATACATAAACGTGATTTGTCTTTTGTCACGTGGTTTGTGATAGTAATTTGTGATAATAATTATTATACTAAATAATTTCATAAAAGGAAACGCGGTATTTATAAAGTTTATAACGAATATTGATATTTGAAGATCGATTTATTTTTATGTAAATTTTTTAATTATGAAATGGTTGATAATGTACGCATATAATTTTTTTACATTACTGTTAAGGATTTAATTACTCTTTGCAAAGAAATTGCTTTCTTTGTAATTATTCAATAATATGAACGATTCATCGTTCTTAGCACATTTTTATTATTTCACAATAGAATCTTGCAATTATTTTACATGCATCGTGAAGTTCGAATTCATTAAATAATAGAAAATCATATTTAATGTCATAAATTTATTTGATATATAAATTAGTTTCTAAATAGTGCTTTAAGTATATTTCCAATGAATACAATATTATTTTCGTTTAAATAACACGGATACCTTAATTATTGTGATTCCTTAATTATTTTGATTATCATTTCTATTCAGTATGTTATGTGATTTTGCACATTATTTCACATTTATTATTATTATTATATACTAGCATAATCAGTTAACAAGTACTTTTCCTTATTAAAAGCATTTAATCACTTAACTGAGCATTATTGAATAATACATTATTTTCTTATTTTCTTAGGTAAGTAAAACAATTGAGTATGATTATAACTCAATTATAGAAATAAAATTATTATTAAAAAATAAATAAAATATAATTAAATATTAAAAAATAAATTTATATTTATTGATTTATTTATATCGATAAGATTCTTTAATAATATTTAATGATCAAAATATACGATAATTTTGTTACAGAAAATGTTAAAAGATATTTTACCATATTAATTTAATATAACTAATTGATATTGTATTAGATATATTGCCAATATAATCATTATAGTCATTTTTTCAAAAAAATAAATTTAAATTATATATTAATAATTTTCCGAGTGTTTTTAGTTATTATTAAGAAGTATTTAAATAATAATTAAAGTCAAGTTAAAAGAAAAAATCTATTAGGACAAACGAATATCAAATAAATGGATATTCAGAAAAGTCAGAAAAAGTCAGAATTCATGTTATCTCGCAAATCTTCCGTATTTCAATTCATAACCGACCGCCATAATTATTTTTACCGCATAGTTATTTTCATAACTACGAAGCTGTCGATAAGCCGGTATCTTGCGATTTTGAAATCCAATCGTCTTCGCAAGACGATACGTAATCTTTCGCGTAAATGGATGGCACGCATGTGTATGCAAATGATTGATTTCTCAACCATCGAACCACCTCGGGCTACCAGCCTGTTTCTGCCATCAAGTTATTATTATAAACACATTTTTAGCCGCACTGTGGTCTCTTATCTCACCGCTTCGTCGATGCTTAATTAAGATACTTTACGATCAATTTCATTCTATTTTTTTCTTTTCTTTTTTCTTTTTTTTTTTCTTTTCCTCTTTCAATATCCTGTTGACCTTCTTCAGATACGATTTTCTTTTCTGGAAAAATTATTGGAATATTTGTGATTTTATATCGAGAATTATTTTTTAAGAATATTTTTAAATTAGAGAATAATTTTAATCGTTTTCGATATGTTCATATAATTCTTCTTGGTTTCTCAATATTATTTCCGAAATGAAATTGTGCGATTATTTTGTATGATTTGAAAGATTTGATTGATTTTTCTTTAAATTTGAAATTATTAATTTTCGAATATTTTTTTATTTTATCAAAAATATTCTGAATTTTTAATATAGCATTTCTAATATAATTATTTTTTAAATTAGAAAGTATTCAAATATTTAAATTTTTTTAATTTAACATTAATGTTTTGTAATTAATTCTAATTTAATTAATTGTTCTGATTGGCATATTAAAATTCTAACAATTTTAAATTTTACATTCACTCGAACATTTTATATATGATTTCTGGAATTCCAATAATTTATTTTGTATATTTTAAAAGATTTTTTTTTTATTCGAATTTTTGAATATTTTATTTTTTTTTTTAATTTGAATATTCTAATTTGTTAATATCTTGTAAATTAATTTTAATTCAACTAATTGTTCTGGTTATAACATATTACAATTTTATAATCATTTTGCACAATTTTAAATTTTATTCCAATATTTCGTAGAAATCGTCGGAATATGAGAGATACGAGAACGAAGACAGCACAATAAACATAACTCGATATCATTTTATCACGGCGCTTGAATACCGTTTTAAATTTCGCGCCACATTTATTGCAGCCTCGCACTTCGATATTATTGGTTTAAAACTCTTATCGCCTAGGCAATTCTTCTTGTGATAAGCGATAACTCTTGTCTTTTTGTAAATTTTTTTAACATCTTGATATACAATTAAATCTTTTTAAAATTATTTATAGTAAAATTATAATAAAACTATGGAAATAGAAGGAAATAAAAATTTATTAAAATATTAATTTAAAAATAAATAAACAAATAAATTACTCAGAAATAAATGTTTTAAATCGTAAAATATATTTCCAATTATCTCGAGATTGAAAACATTTGTTAATTATCTTTATCTCTTGCTGATTCAAACTCATCGAACTTATCTTAAACGATTACAAGATCAAGAAACTTCGTCAACATTGATCTGAAACCTATAAAGTACGCTATCCAACTATCTCTCGAGAGATTGAAGGGCCTTGATAATCCGAACAAGTTCATTGAATCATCATGAGGTCAAGAGATTTGGTCAACCATGATCCTTGAACTATTTCGAGGTTAAAAGACATCGATGATTCTCCACTTCTGATCGAATTTTAAATTTCAAAAAAAAGTTAAGAACACAAACAGGAATTAGATATCCTTTGAGGCTAGATATTTCTAGTTATTTATTTTTCAGAGTTTGCTGTCCTTGAGAACTATATATCCTTTCACACATTCCAACGATATAACTTAATAATAATACAGAAGAATACTATATATATGAACATGGAATTACTCTTAGAAATTAAATCCAAGATTACATAATTCATATAGAAAAAAGTTATTAAGTCTCGTTTCCAAGATTATTTAATATACATTAAAAAATATAATTAAATTTTTTTTCGATATGTCATTTCTTATTTTCTTTTCACAAATCTACAAAATTTTTGACAAATTATAATAACTGTAAAAAGTTTATGGCAAACACGAGATGCATTCGAAAATACTTTAGAGGTTAGGTTCAAGATTATACACTATATATAGAAAAATATCAAGTTTCGTTTCCACATATCATTTGCTATTCTCTTTTCTTAAAAAACTATAAAGTTTTTGATAATGTTTATTTTTATGACCACAAATGTTATTTAAAAAATTCAATTCACGAGAAACACGGCCTCGATACCGAATGGGATCGTCGATTCGAATTCGAAACGTTGTATTTTCATTGCCTCGTGTGTAAATTGTCAGGTTATTCGGCCCAGTTTTCACGCAGAAATGTGGACGGTGGTCAGTGGAGGAGATCGAATCCGTGGCGGTCGTTTGAGTATATTGTTATTCCGCGAATACTTGAGACTATTAACGTTCACGGAGAGCAGAGATAAAACGGTCGTAGGTCGGGAAAAAGGCTGTTGGCATCGCGGCAACGACCTTAACTGAAGCTCTAAGCATCAGTGACGAACAAAATCCATGGGCGCGTTATTTCGTGTGAAATAATTGAATACAATGGAAAGAAAATGATAACATTATTTTTAATAGAAATTATATGTTTATTAAACAAGTGACAATCGATTAAATATGATTTATCTTCTGATAGGTTTAAATGAAATCAATGATATATGAATATAAAATCTTATTATGATTATTTAAAACACGTTAACATTTGAATTCACAATAGCATATAAATAATCAACGATTCGACATATACATTGCTGTAAACATGCAAAGTAATATATTATAATCATTCGATGATTACTTAATTATTGATTGATTACACTTTTTAGTCTGTTTAAAATCAAGTCTGTTTTTTTTCTTTCTCTCTTATATTCATTATAGCTTCATTATAGATGATAAAATAATTTTTTGTATAATATATCATTATGTAATATTTTAATTATACTA